AAAAACGGTCTGAATATCGTTCTAGGATTTGATGATGGCAGAGTTTCAGAGGGAAGGTAGGGACCTATGTAGCTCTGTGGGAAATTAGACTGTTTTTGAATGAAATATACAAAGTTATGATACACAAATGTTGAACTTTATCATTATGTTATATTAATTTTATGTTTTTTAAGTCTGTCCAACTAACAACAATCACATATTTTGAGTTGCATAATGTCACTACTTTCTGACGTTATTGTGAACACTTTTTTCATAGATTTTTTGTTTATTTGAGCTGACAAAAATCTGTTGAACTTTGTGCCAGTTCTTCTTTCATATGGATAGGCCCAGCAATTATAGAAATACAGTATTAACTATAAACCAGGTCAACAAATTACTCTACAACATGATGGTAGATTAATTTGGTCTGATTTAATTTGATGGTTTTAAGCTTATTTGATTTTACTGGTTTTATTTATTTAAGACTAGTATGATTATTTATTTATTATATATTTGTTGTTATTAGTATGTATTTGTGCAGCACTTAGGAAACTGTGTTTTTTTTAAATGTGCTATAAATAAAGTGGATTGGATTGGATGATAGTTAAAGGGCCCATATGACACTATTTTCTAATCTATGTTATATTGCTGTTTCCTGATCAAAAACAGACCTGGAGTTGTGTTTTGCTTCATTCACCCAGGTTTGACTCACAAATGCTGCATATTGAGGTCACTGAGTTGTTCTCTCAAACAGAAAACACTCTGTTCCACCTTGTGACGTCATGTGGTAATACAGGAAATGAAATTAAACTGAAAACTCACACCAGAGTTCTTGTAGAGGTGCAAATGTAAGGAACAGTAAAATAAAAGTGAAAACATGTATAGTGTTTTCCAAAGCAAGAATAATGATCTAACAAAGGCTTTTTGCTTAAACATTATTTATAGGGATCTAACGATATCCAAGTCTCACGATACGATATAGTCATCTTATACATTTCAAGGTACGATATTTATTGCGATATTTTGTGGCGGCTGCGAACAAAACTGTTAATATGCTACTTTTTCCTATTAAAATGCCTTGATAAGACTTAATCCAAAGAACTAAGACTTAAAAGTGTCTAGAACTGCACTGAAATGGAGCAAAGGATCATGGTCTATGTAGGTTTTTTGTAGTTTTTTTTTTTTTTTTTTTTTTTGCACCATAACTTAATTTAAGCAAAAAGACTTGTAATTCGATATATTGTGATGGTCCACGATATTATTGTGAGAACTTTGACGGTACAATATCACGATATTTTGGTTATTTTTACATCCTTAGTTATTTTAAAAATAAACAAAGCTTTTGGACACCGGCCATCTGACTGTGCTATACAATTTTTCACTTGTAATAAAGGAAATGCTCAACTCTCTTTTTAAACCCCATACACCTTCACTGGGATCATTTGGATACTTTCAGCTGTAGACTTTCCGATCTCTATTCAAGAGACCTCATTTCCTAGTGAGCCAGAGCATTGGAGATGTGTGGAGACACTTTTTAAAATATTCCATCCAGTCCTTGTATTTGCAGAGGTCACTGGCGCTAGGCTAGTGCATGTCAATGGCCATAGTTATCCTGCCACTAAAAACAGTTTTACCCACTCCACAAAACACCCGAAGAAAATCTATTATTACACCAGATTGTCGATGTGAATGTCTGTGTTGATAGAATAATTTTAGAAGTTAAACCAACCTTGCATTTGAAGGATTTATGTCTGAGCAGCAGTGAGTTGTACTTCCTGATAGAAAACTTGGCAACGGCGGACTGATACATGAGAAAATAGTCCCTCAATATGCAACGATTCATGCGATGCAAGGTTAGTTTTAGTTCAAACATTATTCTATCAACACACACATTTACATCGAGAGTCTGGTGTAATAATAGATTTGCTTCGGGTGTTTTGTGGAGTGGTTAAAATGGTTTTTAGTGGCAAGCTAACTATGGCCATTGACATGCACTAGCCTAGCACCAGCGACTTCTGCAAATGCAAGGACTGGATGGAATATTTTAAAAAGTGTCTCCACACATCTCCAATGCTCTGGCTCACTAGAAAATAAGGTCCTGTGCCCAAAATACTAAACAAAAGGTAAATGGTAGCTGTTAACTTGAAAACTACCGCTTTGTGACAAACTAATAACAAAGGATTACTCAGACATGTGCAAAATACTGGTTTGTTTTTGACGAAGTAACAACATTATAACAAGGCTTAAAGCTCACAAGAGTAAATTTTGCGTATCATAGAACTTTTAAACAACAAATTCCCGCACACAATTCTGACCTGCCCTCCTCAAAGTTAAGAGATAGCTATTCTAGTATGTCGTAATGTCTCCTGAATGCACCCTGTTTGCAAAGGGAGGCAGGATGCTCCTCTCCAATCTTTATTTACCGCGGTGTGTTTGCTGTGCACACCTGGAGGCAGCCACCGGGAAGGCTAACCTCATTCCTCATCTCTGATACTTACACTCCCGCCTGTGCCCGGCAACCTGCATTCCAGATTAGTCACCGACCGCCAGACTGGCCAAGTGCAGAACTATGCCGCTTTGAGATACACCACCAGTCACAGTCTACTTAGAAGATGTATTACGTTAAATTGCCTTTTAGAGCTGCATAGGACATATTACTCACTTTTTGTTAAGGTCACGTCGACATAAGACGTGCTGCTAATTTGTCATGTTTTATCAGCTGCTTTTTAAAACACTAAAAGACTAAACGTGCTCTATGTAACTTTTCTGGTAAGGGGTCGCCACCTGCTTGTCTCCATGGTGATGTTGTTGCTGTGCTTGGAATGTTCCACAGTACATCTTGCATGAGTTACAAGTAGTAAGGCTACTTGATTATGTAAAAAAATCATTATCACAATTATTCAAATGATTATTTTTTAGTTACACGATGCATTTATTCAGCCTTTCTCTCTAAAAAACACTTTGTTATTGATAATTTGTGCAAAACTTTCAAATTGAAATTAAATATAGGCTACAAATATGAACCTTAGAGCAGTTTTGCGGTGTATAAAGCATAAAATGAATAAAAAATATACTTTGAACATGAAATAAGGCATAGAAAAACATAAATGTATCCAAAATAAACTATATATCCAGCTGTTCTACAATAAATATACTTATACTTACTTTATTAAGCTCTATTGTTTCAACTCGTTTATATGAGTTTGGAGATCGTTTGACACACAAATCAAAATCGCAATCAAAACTCAATTAATTGCACAGCTTTAATTCTTAGTGTTTAAATATATCACAACAACACAAAGATTCTCCATCTAACCAAATGTCAATGTAAGTTTCTTTAAAAAACAACAACAACAACAAATAAAACTATAAATGTATTTTTCTTATTCACTGTGCACTGTTTAACTTTTCAGATGGGGGTCTATCACCTTCTGGTTTTTATGGTTTTATCATTGCTCTGCATCAAATGTTCCACACTATGACATTAAACAGATCTACCTTACGCTTCAATTCAATTGCAGGTTTTATAGGCTCTATTCACGTTTACGTCACAAACCAGGAAGACGTTTATAAAGATTCTTCCTCTGTAGTTACTGAGAATGGGCTCACCTAACATGGATCTATTAAAACCGGCTGGGCTGGGTATCATCAAGAAGTTGCCGATACAAACCTCGATACAAAAGCCACAATATGATACATATCTCCATACACTGAGCTTTTGATTTTATACGATATATTTCAAATCGATTCGATATTATTCAGTAAAAAATAAAGGCTAAATCATGGCTGTGATGCTAAAAGTCTTTGTTAAACCACTTCTTGGGCAAAGTGAATATGAAACAGAAATATTTTAATCATCAAAACAGTGAAAATGTCAAATGTGCTGCATAAACAAGTTTCCTTCTTCTAAACAAGCAACAAAACTGTAGCACTTTAACAAAATAATTGAGTAAAATATACACAAAAAAAAACCTCTTGGCGATGTATCGATACAGGAGTCCACAAAATCGATACTGTATCATCACCTTAAACAATATGATATTTTGATATTTTTGTACACCCCCAAATAAAATCCACTAAAGTAAATGTGATCAGTGGTAAAATGAAGACTGCATTCGTATGTGCTGTTTGGAATCCTCTTGAATTTGGCGCCTCATCTCTTCTAATCGCATGTAGCCGGTGCGCTCGGAGTTGTGCGTCAGTGGGGAAATCGTGAAAACTGAGGTGTGGTTGTAACTGTTGATTAGCTGAACGTAACAGAACACTACAATGACATGGAGATGAAGAAAATTGGAGCCTGGGAAGTTGTAATCGCATCTTTCCAAACATCTTCTTGGTTTGTGACATAAGCATAAGCCTACTGAACCTATTGCTCAAAAATACCTAGAAGGGGGATCACCTCTCCACAGATCTGACCTGTAACTTGGTCTGGTTTGGTCTCCATGATGATAGAAAGGTTTAAACTATATTGTGAAACATTCCAGACGAAGCAATAATATCTCAAGGAAGAAAAGCAGGTGGCAGACCCTCCACCAAACGTTACACAATCCACTTTTACGTCAGTCTTAATTTTGATTCACTCAAGTTTTTATTTGACAAATAAACTGGACTTTTTAGTTTTAATATAAGTGAAAGTCTGATAAAATACTGCAGTAATATCAATACTTTGGTACTGAACATATGACTATAATCTCCAACATCGTGCAGCTCGAGCCGTTGCCACCACAAAACAGAAACTTTCTATTTTTAATTTCTTGAATCCACTAATGAATACTATAATTACAAATGAATTATTTAAACCTCAAAACATTTTTAAACTTGTCCTTTTATGTCAGAAGATATCAAATGTAGCAGCTCGTCTCCGCAGGGAAACAGATGCCTTACCCCGAGTCTTCTCTTGTCATCATTTTACAGCCCATACGACTTTGTACCATCATTAGCACTGCTCTCCCTGCCTCCCAAATGAAGGATAGACCTAATTATGTGCACACACACTCTCATATTGTGCTTATGCTAATCACCGTCTTGTTATGTCAGAGCTGAGAAGCAGTCTAGATTTCCAACAAAGAGGGGGTAGACTTGACACAACTCTAATTAGACAAAGCAGGCGGTTTTTGAAAACAGCTTTTGTTTTGATGTGATTTTTTTTCCTCCTCACATCAACAAGAAAATCCTCCCGGGTAATTTGCCGCGCACGAATAATGAAGGAACCGACCACCCGGCCCTGAGGAGGAACCTAACTGCTTAAGTGGCTGTAAGGGGAAGGAGACAGAGCAGTGTGCTGTCTGTCTGGATCTTACAGGAATGCTTCTCACATGCGCTCTGAGTGAATGAATGTGGAAGAGGCGGTCTAATTACTACTACTCCTGACAGTTGGGTCTGTACTGTCATACAGCAGGTAGAGCAGGTTATAAGCAGCATGGGGCAGTTAGTCCAAGTAGAAGACTTCACAAACCTGTTTTAGCAATACAAATAATAATAGTATAGGAATTAGTCTGTTAAAGGACAATGGCAGCTTTATGTTGCAGGGCAGTAGGCTCTTCTCTAGGCTGTTCTTACTCACTCACTTACTCATTTTGCAAACACTAAACAAATTATGATCTATTTACAAGGAATAAGAATGGTTGGTTGATAAAAAACAAACAATATTGAATTGAAACCTAGGGGCTTATACACAGCAACAATGCTCAACATACACTTTATAGATTTTATGATATCAAGTTGCATCCTCCTGTGTTTCAAGTGAGTACAGATTGTGGAGGGGCTGACTTACCCGCTCTCGGTGCCTGCAGCGCGGAGGCATCTCTGATGGCCCGAGCCCACCTCTCAGCCTCCTGGAGGTTGGCGCTGGGGTCCTGGACCAGAGCGACCCGAAAACACTGCTCCACTCTTTGGCGCGCCACTCCAGCGCTCATCCAACGCCGCTTGAACGGGTAGAAATAGGCAGTAAAGTACGCGCCCACATCCCCGCTGTCCGGGGCTCGGTACGCCCGGCAGCCCACACAGTCCGTCAAGTTAAAGACCACGTTAGTTCGGTCGGGGGACGAGGAGATCCGCTGGATGGTGAGCGCGCTCTCGGACAGGCTCACGGAGTAGCGGAGGCTGTCGTTCTGAGAGTCGCTGAACTCCCCGTACAGGACACCCCCCGCCCCGTTCCGCAGGCAGGACGGGTCCGGTGCAGGGACATCCTTCTCCATCCCGGGCGGAGGTGCGACGGTCCCGCAGGCGCAGGCCGGTGAGCGGATGGCGGTGCAGAGGCAGAGCTCACTCTGGAGCTCGGAGCCCGCGGTGGGACGATTTGACAGCGAGAGGAGCGGCTCATCCAGTTCACTGTCGCCCCCCAGTGACGGAAAGAGGAAGGACAAGCCTCTCCGTCTGTCACTATCAAGAGAGACAACAGAGGAAACACACGTCAGTGATCCCCACTTTCTTTCTTTCAGCTCATCTCAACAAGAAAACTAACTTGGCCATTTAAATTGTGCAGGATCCATTTATAACCTCAACTTCAAACCCATTCTCTTAATCATGCATATAAAGTACACTTACACCACTAATCACAGCATATTTCCACTTAATAAAATGTGCATAATGATTCTTAATCAAAATAAATTAGACTGTTGTCCTGTATAAAGAAAGAAAACCTACAAATAAAGAAATAACCTATACAATAGTAACCTATAAATAAAGCAAAAAAATAAAATACTAAAATAAATGAAAGAATATAATAATATATAATAACTAAACTAAATATAATAATAATAATAACTGAAAAACTAAATAAAGATAAAGAAATAAACATATAAATAAAGAAATAAATAACCTATAAATAAAACAAAACGAAAAAATAGTAATAATACTAATAATAACAATACTAACTAAAAATGTAATATAAATAAATAAATAACGTATACATAAATCATATTTTTTAAAAAGCTAAAATTTTAATAATACAATAATAATGATACTTACTAAAAACTAAATAGAATATCTATAAAATTATAAATAAATAACCTATAAACAAAACGAAATAAAAATAAATAAAATACTATTATTAATACTACTACTAATAATAACAAAAAAATAAAATAACAAATAAATAAATAAATAACCTATAAATAAATCTTATAAATAAAGAAAAAACTTTATAAAGCTTTCTGAGTAGCGTCACAAAACCACGTGGCATGTGACGTCTCGCGCAGTTAAAACTCCTCTCGCGAGATTTACACTTCCACTTGCCACTCTTCAGGAGGAGGAATCACGCGGGTCCTGAGAGAAATCTTCTCTATGTTCCAAATCTGTATTTGTCCACAGATGGATTCATTCAAACCTCCGTGACCAGGTAAGATTAGGGTTTAAAATGTCACGATGTTGCGTTGTTTTGATTTTGTAGCTCGGTGTAGGTTGCAAGTTTCTCTGGTAGCATAGCCGCCTGCTAACCCCTCTAACACGTGCTGCAGAGTAATGGTTGGAGAAAATGTGACTTTACTGAACTTTCATCTAAAAATATATCTTCTATTTGCAGGTAATGGATGCTTGGAGATATTCTCAACTTGAAGGCTGGAGTTTGACCCTCAGGTATATTTAATTTTACTGAGAATATTTATTATAGGTTTGTTTTTCATTTTAAGCGCATATGATGAGTTTTGTTATCCCTGTCTGAAGAACAGTGTAGAGATCTTTGTGGTAACTGAATTGCTGTGTATTTTACGTTCCTAAATCAGCTTCAGATCAGATCAAATTCTAATAATATACACTTATTGCAGGTCAAGAACTGGCTGCTGAAACGTGGTGATGCTCCACTTGGACACCACTGAGGCGTTATGGGAAAGGTTTGTCTAATATTTAAGCTCTTTTATGATTTTGGTTTTATCTGTGATGAAAACTGCTACATAGGAAGTGCCGTCTGATGCGATAACTGACGATGGAAAAGCTTTTCTGAGACCTTTTTCGAAATGAATTAATCATGTGTTTCTACTAAATACTGAAACCGCGGAGTGGTGAACTGTTGTATTTTCCTCCCCAGGTGCTGTGAGAACTACAAAGTGGAAAAAGGACGTATCAGGTAATTTTCACTCTAAAATATCTTAATTTAGAGCCAGTGATGATACAAGTTATCCCTGTCTGAACATGAATGTGTGGAGATATGGTAACCTGAGGCAACTATGTATATAGATTTGGATAGTTAATTTATCATTTACAGCAACATGTATAAAAGCTGATTTCCTTTCTTTTTCAGAAATCCGAGACAAGACTTTGCCAGCAAATCGGAGTGGAATTGAAATGTTATTGATGCACAAGAGAATTTTTCAGCTAAATACTGAGTAGTAGCATCTAGACTGGTAGAGCTACAATAAGTTGCTGCATACGTTGCAAGACTTGTGCTTTCTAAGGAGTCTACAAAAGCAATTTAGCCATAAAGAATCATAAATAACACTTTATTTTTTTGTACAAAAGTTTAAACATGACTTACAAAAACAATTTAAAAATAAAAACAACTATCAATCTGTTAAGTTTGAATTGTACGATTTCTTCTTCAAATTCTCTAGAAAAGCCTTCTCATCTTCAAGGTATTCACGATCCTGTCAAAAGCAGAAAAGTTGCACACATGTTTATACTTTAATATTTACATAAAAGTGGTAAATCTTAGCTTTGTGTGTAAGTGACATACTTTTTCAGCAGTGTACTTCCACAGAGCCAAACTCGCCTGTAGCGCCATTGACTGGGAGTTGGCAAATGTGTTTGGCAAAATATTTAAGGTTGGTGCCAGTTTTGAGCTTGGCACTACTGGCATTAAGTCTACAATGAAAAGCAGTGCCAGATCTTTTTATAGTGCACACTGAAGGAACAATATTTATGAAAACTGTAAGAGACAAATCACCTGGTGGCACTGGAGCGAGAACTGGAGGCATGGAGGGGTAGGTGGGGATGGCTGGTCTTGGCTGCTCCTTTTGTAAATTGGTTAGGTACATTCTTTCCTGAAATATTAATACTTTAAATATTTACCAGGCAGAAACTGAATCACAGTAGTGGATGGTAAAAGTACACAAGTCTAAGTATTAGGGAATTTCATGTTAACCATGCAGAAAAACACAAACTATCTTAAAACTCATTCCATGTTACATAACAGGTTCATGTAATCACAATTCTCCCCTTACGATAATCAGTTGGATCAGTGAATTCAACTTTTAGCCAATAACTAAAAGTAAAGCAAAGTTTCAGTGTGTGATACAGGAGTCATTTATTTTATCCTCTTGTTTTAATTAAATGAAAGTACTTTATCCATTGAAAAGCACAGTACAGTAACAGAACACACCTGGAGGATCCTCTGTTCCTGTTGTCTCAGTTTCTCTGTTTGAGAGTGGATATTTCGCAGTCTCGCCTCGTGCTCGGCCTCCACCACTTTGGCTTGGTGCAGCGCCTGCTCCCCTTCTTCAAATTTGTCAGCAGCCAGCTTTACAAAAACACAACAGACATAAAATTATAACGGTGAAGAGACGAGAAGAGACGTGTCATGTCAATAAAATGTCTAACTTTAATCGTTATTGTAATCCATGATGCTTCAGGTCATGAGAACACTGTTTTTTATCAGTAATACTTAATCACATTTATGTTTGAAAAGATAATAATAAAAGACGATAAAATGCATTTACATTTAAAGTGCTTGAAATAAGTTAGATTTGTGTGGTTCCTTTCAATAATTTCTTTTATTTCTCATGTCCAGAGCTTGTTAATTCTGCTTTATAGTGCTACAGAATATTTTCTTTCAAATATGTTAAAGCCAAAACTGTCATAGGGGCATAAAAGTACAGTATTTGTCGCAAAAATGTGTGCTGCAATATCTTCATACACACAGTATTAGTAAGGATGTGTCTGTACCTTGCTGAAAGCTTCCACCTCCTGGGCTCTTGTCTTGAGTCTCAGAGCTGTGGTGCTAATCCGTTCCTTCTCTCTCTCCAGCTCCTCTCTCAGTCTGTCCAGATTCTCTCTCTCCTGGGCCACGGCGAGCTCCTTTTGTTTTAGCTCAGCGGTGCGGAGCTTCAGGTCAGCTTGCTCCTACAAAGCAAATGAACATTTTGAGCCACGGCAAATTGGTCAATCCAAAGTCGTGAGATAAGACAAAAGTGATAAGTTGTTTAATTTTATAAGCACATATTTAAAGTACTTATTAGTTAAGGCCAAAAACTAGAAATTGAAGCTATTGCAAGTGAATCCTGACTGCATGAGGTTTAAAAAAGACTTGGTAAAAGACTGCATAAATCAGCTCAGATTGTAAAACGTGTGAAAGTGATGAAGCAAACAAAACTAAGAAAAACTATGAAACTCCCTAATTTGTTTTTTATAGTGCTTTTATTGTGAAAACCCAAATTTGTTGTTTTACAAAACCCAAAATGGTGATTGGTTTATAGGGCTTTTATTATTAAACCCCCAATTTGTTGTTTTAGAAAGCTTTTATAGCAAATAAAAAGGCCAAATTGCTGTTTCAGAGTGCTTTTATTGTGAAAAACATAAATGTAGGTAGAGAGATTTTATTGTGATGGTAGTACTTAATTACTTCATCAAACCTATAAAAGTATGCAGTAGTCTTGTATAAAAGTATGCAGTAGAGTCGATTGTATCATTAGAGATGCAGATGGTACACAATTTACTCATTTACTGCAAATACTACAAGTGAAACATGTAAAACTATAGAAACATGTAAAAATGCAAAACCTGTAAGAATGCATCACCTGAAGAAAGTAAAAAAAAAAGTGTACTTTTGTACTTGTAATATATGTATACTGCAACTAGTATTACAACCGTGAAGAATGTGTAATAAAGTATTGTACAAAAAAAAAAAAAGACAACTGTAAACTTTATCACCTGCAGAAAAGTACAAAACTGTAAAATGTACAACAAAGGGCAAAGCGGTCTGTTGTCACGAGCCCCAGGGTCTTAGGTGCTTTCACACCAACAACAGTTGGTGCTCACCAAATGTTCTATTTGAACCAAAAGCTCTTAGTTCAGTTCATTTTTATGGTGTGAAAGCATCAATCGCACTTGGATCCGCCCTAAATCAAGCGGACACCCCCCCAGTTCGGACGGAGATCTGGCACGCGGGAGATCCCCGAGCCACATGCAGTCGAACCTGTTGTACGCAGGAGCCTGGGATATAGGTCTATCGGACCAATTTTGGTTTGGTTGCTGGTGTGAAAGAAGTCTGTATGCTACATAATAAGAACTTTATTGCCTGGTGCGGACCAAATAATCAAACTAGCAGTGTGAAAGCGCCCTTAGAGGACCCAGAATTAATTTATATTAGAGGGGGGCCCATGTGAGGCTTCTTGAACTGGGCCGCCAAATCTGTCGACGGACCTGTGTATATGTCTAAAAATTAAAACCTACAAAAATCTCATAATTAAAATAGATCTCTAGCCTTAATTAAAAGTGTATGATTCAAAATGTCACCGTTTCGATCCTATATTTCAGGGGTCTCCAACCTGTAGCTCGGGAGATACCAGTAGCTCTCCATCCCCTTCCAAGTAGCTCACCAAGGGATTTCTGAATTATATATACTGTACTGAATAACTAAAACTGTATTACCGTATTTTCCGGGCTATTAGACGCGCTCTTAAGCCTCTAACCCCATCAAAAAACGACCGCGCCCCCCACAATCCAGAGCGCCCTACACACGAATCCATTCGGGTGTCCCAGCACGACTTCAGTAAACTACAAAGCCGCAGCACTTGCAGCACACGCAAACACACACGGAGCAGACAGCGACTGTGCAGCGAAACACACCCACAGCCACACTCATCCCTCCATGCGGACGAGGAACAGAACGGAGGAACGAACCGAAAAAGCGAGTGCAATGTGCCACTCTGAGCCACAACTGAGTCACTGCGAACACGCCGACAATCCAGCGGTCCCAGACAGCACCCTCCCTACACGCCACAACTGAACAAAGCCCAGAGTCACAGTGAACGCGCCAAACAAAGTCCGACTGACTCATGACTGATCAAACTGTTGTGTTTCGTTTAAAGTCCGGTGCGGTTTATTTGTGAAAAAAGTTTGAAAATAGACCATTTAATGACAGTGCGTCTTATAAACCAGAGCGCCTAATAGCCCGGAAAATACGGTAATTGCCACTGTAAATGTTTAATTTTGATGCCTAACTAAATAAATAAATGGAGGATGGTTTGTGGTTTATAGGCGTCTAATTATACTCCATCTAAGGCTGCCATGGGGCTTAAATGAACAAAATTTCTTGCAAACACTAAAACAAGTAGCTCTCTGGCATGTTTGTTTGGTAAAAGTAGCTCACCGGAGGAAAAAGGTTGGAGACTCCTGCTTTATTTAGTGTTTGTATTCACAGTAACTTCTATGTGGAGTGTATTTGGATTCCCGGTAAGTTGTGTGTGCAGTGTACCTGTGCCATACTGATGATGGAGCCCTCCCTCCTCTCCAGCAGACTGCTCACTTCCCTCTGGGCCCTGTCATGTCTCTGCTTCTCCTGAGCGTGGAAACTGGCCCACTCTGCTGCCAGTCTCCTCCGCTCCTCGGCACAGTGCTGCATCACCGACTTCTGCTCCTCCAGCAGCGCACTCTGACACGCCAAAAGAACAGAGGAAAATCTCACGCAGCAGGAAGAAGAGACTTTGGATGTGTTTATATTCAGGAAAACACAGCACTTCAAGATTGGGGTTAAACCAGGACTAGAACAGGGCCAAACTAAAACTAGAACAGGACCAAACCAGGCCTAGAACAGGCCTAGAACAGGACTAAACCAAGACTAGAATAGGACTAAACTAGGACTAGAACAGGCCTACCCCAGGACTAGAGCAGGACTAAACTAAGACTAGAACAGGGCCAAACCTAGACTAGAATAGCACTACCCCAGGACTAGAACAAGGATTAAACCAGGACTAGAACAGGACTAAACTAAGACTAGAACAGGGCCAAACCAAGTCTAGAACAGGACTAAACCAGGACTAAATCAGGACTAGAATAGGACTATACCAGGACTAGAACAGGCCTAAACCAGGACTAAACTAAGACTAAACCAAGACTAAACCAAGACTAGAACAGAGCCAAAGCAAGACCAGAAAAGGACTAAACCAGCACTAGAACAGGACTAGAACAGGACTAAACCAAGCCTACATCAAGACTAAACTGGGACAGGTGTGAAAGCAACCTAAGACTTAGACATACATTATTGATCAACAAGAGAATCTACACGGATACAGAAGAAAAACACAACTTGAAGACAATTCTAGTTAATAGTATAGATATAAATAATAATAGAGACAATCTGAATAGTAAGTTATTTTTTATCTTTAAAAAAAAGAAACAAAAATCTAAAGCAAAAAACAAATTAAGGAAAAAAAATGAAAGTTGAAAACAGTAAAACCAAAAATAATAAAAGGATACAATTAGTTTTAGTTAGTTAGAAACTAGAGTTTAAAAAAACATGTAAAAATAATAAAAAACTGTAACACCAAAATAGTACACAAAAAACAGTACAGACAAAAATAGTCAAGAAAAACTGGAAAAACTAGTGCACAGACTGGATTTAAATAAAGATATCTTCAAAGTACCCACCTTGGCTCTCTCCAGCTCCTCTCTCTCCATGTTCATCTGCATGCTGAGGGAACGCCGCTCATCTTCAAGGGCCCTTTGTGTCGACTCGGCTTTTGCCTGCTCCGATGTCACTCTCCAGCGCTCCTATTGACAATAACCGTCAAAAAACAGCTTTAAACTGAATGTGACAGGTTAGACTGCACATTTCAATAAAATTTTGTTTACATAAATATATTTCAATTTTGCTACAGATTTGACCTAGTTTTCCATAGTTTGAGCATAAAGTTTATAAACTTACTTCCTGGTGGACGTGTGCAGCAGATGTGACATACTGTATGTACAGGCAATTACGTAACTTTTATAAACCATAATGTTAAAACTGACCTTTTTAGAACTTTTAACCATGTTATAGTTGTTTAATCCGTGTGTCATTCGTTCATTCATTTTTCAAAATAAAACCAAAAATAAGAAAATGAAAAAACAACAATTTTCTTCATTATTTGTCTCCAAAATCACAATGAAAAAAACAGATAACGACAAATTTTTTCAGTTCAGAATAATGGAAAAAAGGGATAACGGCCATTTCCTGTTTCCGTGACTTAAACTGTGATGCCGGACTGAACCGAGACTGAACCAGGATTGAACCAGGTCTACCAGGACTAAAACAGTCTCAGTCCTGGTCTCAGTCCTGGTCTCAGTCCCGGTCTGGTCCGGTTCTGGTCTCGTTCTGAGTACCGGTCTGAGTCTGGATCACCTGACAGCGCGGGAGCACCTCTAGGCCCGTCCCAACCCTCCTGGTTCAGTCCTGCTTTAGGACTGAAACTGGAAACAGACCAGAACTGAGACTGGGACCAGACCGGGACTGAGACCGGGACTGAGACCGAGACCGGGACTGAGACCTGGTTCAGTCCTATTTTAGTCCTGTTTTAGTACTGTTTTTGTCCTGTTTTAGTCCTAGTTTAGTCCTGTTTTAGTCCTGGGTTAGTCCTGGTTCAGTCTGTATGCAGCGCAAAAGTCCAGCAAGTCCGTTAAGTCATGTAAACTGGAAAAGGCCATTATCCATTTTTTACATTATTCATTTAAACACAAAATCGAAAACTGAAAAAACGAATCATTATCTATTTTTTTCATTTTGGTTTTTGACACAAATAATGAAGAAAATAGTTGTTTTTTCTTTTTCTAATTTTTGGTTTTATTTTGAAAAACAAATGAACAAATAATACATGGATTTTGTTTCCCCTTCTCGTTTCCCCTCTCAAACTTGTATTTAGTGTGAGTTGTTTTTAAGATGTCACTGCCACCAGCACACCCGCACTGTCCTGTACATCTCTAATTTTCTTTTCTTTATCGTTATCTTTATAGGATTTGGCATCATTGTTAACTTAATGGCACAAACTTGTTTCTTTTATTAGGTAATTTTAGACAAATATTACAATTTAAAAGGTCTAAATTCTAACATAATAGACAGATTATAACTATATATCAGGTTTATGCACAATAGGTCTTCTGTCTCAAGGGCCAAACAGCTTGTCTAAATTACACAAAGTATGATTAGACTAATAAAATATAAACGTTAAACGCTTTGATTTTGTTAAATGAAGGTTTAAACTTCTGGAAAAATAAACTGTCCCTACATTTTGGACGTAATTTTCAGTGTTGATGACATAGATAGAGGTATTTCAATTTAGAACTCAGCACTACTTCCTGTATGTTGCACTTTCGTCTCAGTCTTTTTCCATAAACTGCCACTTAACGGATGTAAAACTAGGATAAATATTCTCCAGAGGTACTATTCCACCAACTCAAGTCATAATTAGAAATACATGAAAACCTCTCATCCCTCTCTAAGTTGGCATCTGGTGTCTATGCAGGCAGCTAGTTCTGGTGGTTTCTAAAAATAGCTTGCAGTCTTGAATCCATTTTTTTTTTTTCCCCTCTGACCTTCTCGAGCTGCCTCTGCTGTTCACTGATCTGAGTGTCCATCCTGGAAATGATTTCTTTGAGGTAAGCCTTCTCCTCAGACATGGCTTTCTGCTGCTGAGCCAGGCGGTCCTGCAGAACTACAAAAAAAAACTGGTTCAAAGAAAAAAACATTGGATGCGTTGAAGTTGTACAGCTGGGTTTCAGATGATGTAAACTACACTTCTTCAATCGCACTTCCACATTCGTAAAGGAGAATTTTGGTGTTTTGCCCAATAGCAAAACAACGATAATGGTAAAAGTGTTGAATTGCCAACGTTTGATTTAGTGGATGATTCATCTTATGCCAGAAACAAAAAATACAAACATCAAAAGGGGTAAGTTGAGAAATGATTCAAGCATATAATTAAACAGTTTGACTTTATAACTTTTCTAGAGTTTGGTCCAAAATTGCTTTGCCTGAAATGTTCCACTGTATCTTCCATTTCCTATTGAATTACTGGTATTTTTATTACTTCTAAAAGACCTTGAAGATTTGTATTCTTACTGCGAGAGGGTTCACCAGGCCACACACCTAACCTGCTTGACTCCATGGAGATAATGATAAATGATCACAATTTTATATATAGCGCTTTTCCACCATCCAGGGATTCAAAGAGTTTTACATCAAGGAAACATTCACACACACATACACATTCATACACCGGTATACACAGACAGTGGAGGCAAGGGAAGTTAATAGGGGTGTAACGATATCCAAGTCTCACGATACGATATCATCACAGTATGAACCTCACAGTACGATATTTATTGCGATATCGTGGGAAAGCTTATGATATGGTGGGGAGGCTCACAATTAGGGATGTATTGCAAAATTTTATGGAAAACTGTGTATGTGCTACTTTTTCCTCTTAAAATGCCTTGACAAGACTTAATCCAAAGAACTAAGACTTAAAAGTGCTTAGAACTGTTGTTTCTTCTTGTAGTCTACACTGAAATGGAGCAAAGGATCATGGTCTATGTAGTTCGTTCTGTCTTTTTTTTAGCTATTGTTGCACCATATCTCTTAATTTAAGCAAAGAGACTTGTGATTCAATATATTGTGATGGTCCACGATATTCTAGTGAGAACTTCATGATATTTTGGTTATTGTTACATTCCTAGGAGTTAAAGGACCACTAAACACCAGAATCACTTTTTTCTACTGATTATCTGTGTAAATGGGGCTAAAATAAAAATGTATACCTATCCCTGGCCTTGTTTTGGCATTTTAGTGCACACTTGTTAAATTCGACTTTTAGGTCAAAAGTCGTGTCTGTTAACGGCCTCTTTAGGATCAACTACGGCCAGTGCATTTGAATTTTCGGGCTGGACTAACGGCCAGTGAGTCAGATACAGGTTATTACGTGATGAGCACAGCCGTTGGCGGTCTACAGGCGGTACGTGAGGAGCCCCTCTCAGCCCCACCCCCATCTGTAATGTCCCGCCGTGTCTGGAGAAAAGGGAAACGGCGTGATCTGAGCACAAATCTCTGCTCTGTTTCAAAGTCTGGAGCGCATCGGTCTACGACGTGTTGGATTGTTGTGTCTGTCAGTCGGCTGTCAGTCATCGCTCCAGAGCCCGCCCCACACCCGCTCCTCAACTCGCTGAGCACTGCCCCACACCTGCTCCCCCCAACCCCTCAGGCATCGCCCTCTCTGGAGGATTTTTTTTATTTTTTAGGGGCAGAGTAAAACTTTGTTAGGGTCTTTAATGGCTCTTTAAATGTCTTGCCCAAAGATACAATGACTCTGACTGAATCGTCTGTGGGAGCTGGAATTGCACCGCCGTCATCTGGGCCAATGAATCCAGTGATTTTGTTTATGTCAAGAGTTGTTAGAGTAGATAACGTAGATAACTTGAATGTCACACTGTAGTAGAGCATTCGAGGCAAAGCAAAAGCATCTCCATGGAGACAAGCGGGGGACAAGCGCACTCTCCACTAGAAACATCATATAGTGCACCATTAATGAATTCCTTTTCAAATACACACGCGCATACCACACCATGTATGAACCCAATGTCTGTTTATAAAGTCTGGCTCTTTTTGCAGTAGAAGTCATGCAATATCACTAGTTTGATTCCAAGAGTAACACTGCAGCCATAATTTAACCCAAATGCAAGATATTTGACCTGACCTATTTAAACACCTTGTATGTGTGTGTGTGTGTTTCGTACTTCTTAGCTGCTCGTCCCTGTGCCGTGCCCCCTGCTCCAGCCCCTGAGCCGTGTTCTCATGAGAGCTCTCCACTCGACACGAGAGCTCCCCCAGACGAGACGAGAACTGCTCCATCTGCTCGATCACCACACTCAGGGACCTGCAGGGCCGAGAACACGAACACACGGGGAATTCAAACCACTGAACAGGTGCTGGATGGACATTGGACATACATTAAAGGGCCCATGTTACGCTATTTTCTGATCTGTGTTTTAATTCGGTTTATTTGTCACATATACTATACCTGAAGTTGTGTTTTGTTTCATTCACAAATGTTTAACACACAACTCTTGCATATTTAGGTTGACTTCTTCTCTCAAACAAAAAACACTCTGTTCCACCTTGTAATGTCTTGTAATAATAGTAATACAGGAAGTGCTCCACTGTGTTTTTAAACTCTGTACACCTTGACTAGAGTCATCTGGATGATTTCAGCCAATCTTTACAAAACTAAAGGTAAGAGGTAGCTGATAACGTGAAAACGCTTCATGAAAGAGGTGGGACCAAGTCATCGTTTTACAAGTCTCAAGTAAGTCTCGAGTCTTTGACCTCAAGTCTGAGTCAAGTCCCAAATCAAATACAGGCAAGTTCAAGTCAATTCTCGAGTCACTGGCCCATAAATCCAAGTCAAGTCCAAGTTGTCTGCTTTGAGCTTCAAGTCATTTCAAGTCTTTAAACCAAAGTACCACATATAGCTTAGATTTATGCAATTTATATGAATTTTAAACTAAATTGTACTTTAAAAAATCACAGTATATTTATATATGAGTATTTATAGGTTATATAAGAGTTGCAGAAAAGCATTTTTTTTCTTTTTAAATCTCTTGACAAGATCTTAGTGTGAATCATTACAGTCAGAATAGAACAAATTCAGATTTAAAAGTGCTTCTCAAGTCTTCTCAAGTCACAGGCTTCAAGTCCGAGTCAAGTTCCAAGTCTTAGTCCATTTTATCAAGTCAAGTCTCAAGTCCTAAAAATAGTGACTCAAGTCTGACTCGAGTCCAAGTCACGACTTGCAAGTCCCTAACTCTGCTTCATGACATCATAAGGTGGAACAGAGCATTTTGAGTTTTGGAGATGTAGACAGACTAATTAATAATAAAGGGTTAATCAAACACGTGTGAATGAAACAAAACACAGGTCCAGTTATGTTTTTGAGGAGGTAACATGGCTCAAAGCTCATTTTTGGAAAATATAGGACCTCAAACAAATTGTTATAAAGAAAACAGCTATGAATCTTTGTATTTGTATGTAAATGTACAGATGTATATATAAATCTTTATACTCCTAAAAGAAATAGTGGCCAAATAAAACCTAGAGAATAAGAAAGTTAGGTCTGGGCGATAATTTATGACAATGACTATATGTACTGATTTGATAAAATATTGTATTGTCTTATTAAAAATGAATAAAAGAACTTTCAATATACATTTTCTTTTTATTTTCAACTGAACTACTAAACTGAACTACTAAAACTACTACAACATTTACTGTATCCTACTTTCCCACCTGGTCTGAGAAGTCGCGCTCGTCACTGCGTCAATCTCTTCATCCTTTAATTTCTTCAGGCGATGAATCTGATCCTCGTGGTCCTTTTTCATTTCTAGGATTGATTTCCTGTTTGAAAAAAAAAAGCACAAAATATGCATATAATGAATACACGTTTAATATTAAACCTCATACTGTCATGTGCCCCAGATTTACAGTAGAATAGGCTAGGGGCAGGGGTGCCAGATTGTTAGAGAGCAACAAGCAACCAAGGCCTTTGACAATAACAAAAAACAAAAACAAAGCAAGAGATAAGAGCCCTACAAAACTGGGTTAGTTCTGTGATGCTGCTATGCGGATTTTTAAAAATTTGTATCACGTAGCATCAAAAAAGGCCTAAAATGTTAATCAGCTGTCATCAGGCTTCCATTCTCTCTGTAACTGCTGCAGTGAGCCTTGTCATTTTGGTCTTAAAATGTTCGTACTAACCCACTCTACATGATTTAAAATGCAACCTACAACTGTCAAAATCTATAAACAACTTTCTGAAACAAGAAGCCCAAAGTTGCTATAAAAGAGCAGACTTGGCAACACTGGCTAGGGTGGGCAGTTTCATTCACCTCTGCAGTTCTCTGAGCCTCTCCACCTCGCGGTCTCTCTCTTGCTGCGCCTGGGACAGTTTGCGCTGGTACTGTGCCTGCAGCTCGGAGCGCTCCTGCTCGGTGGAGCGTGTCAGCGCGGCCAGTCTCTCCATCAGGTCCTCGCACTCCTGCCTCAGTCTAGTCTCTCTCTGAGCTGCAGACTCTTCCAGCATCTTCACACGGGCCCTGTAAATGACACCAGTGAGATGTGCTACTGACAGAATGTAAGAATGCACAGAGGGAATTGTTGAATGATTTAGTTAAACGTCCTATGTTACGCAAAATTGACTCTTTTGAGATTTAAGCCATGATAGAATGTTGTTACCGCATCAAAATCATACCCAGAGTTGTGTTTTGTTTCATTCACACATGTTTGAGTAACCCTTTATTATCAGTCTGTCTACATCTCCAAAGCTAAAACTGCTATGTTCCACCTTGTGATGTCATGTAGGGGTAGTTTTCAAGATAACAGCTAACTTTCACCTTTTAGTTCAGTAAAAATTTGCAATACCAGGGTTGAAATTATCCAAATGATTCTAGTGAAGGTGTATTTTTAAAACACTTCTTGTATTGCCACAGGACATCACAAGATGGAGTGTTTTCAGTCTGAGAGAAGAACACTGCTTTAATTTGCAGGATTTGTGTGTTAAACATGTGTGAATGAGACAAAACACATCTCCAGGTCTGTTTTTGACGAGGAAACAACATGATGACGTAGATCAGAAAATAGCATAATATGGGCTCTTTAAAGTTGGCATGTTAAAAATAGGATATGATTAAGGATAGGATTTTTTATATTTCAAAATTACCTCAGAAAGAGAGTAGAACAGATTTATTCACAAATATATGTTTTAAGTGATGTAAAAGTTGGCTATGCTTGTGTTATGTTATATGCTTATGTTTGTTGTTGTGGTTCTCATGTCGATTATCCAATCAAAAAGCAGAATGAGCTCCATCCTCATTTTGGGCTGCCAGATCCTACTACTAAAATCAGTTTGCAATAAACCCTAAAAGGGATCTCTATGATATTATGGTTTGAATTGTAATGCCTATAATGTCTTGTCATGTAAAATGGACTCATGTGAGCTTTTAGCCATGTCAGAATGCTTTTACCTAATCAAAAACATATCTGGAGTTTTGTCTTATTTCATTCACACATGTCTGAGCAACCCTGCATTATTTGGTTGTCTACATCTCCAGAGCTCAAAATGCTCTGTTCCACCTTGGGACAGCTGAACAGCTTTGTTCAGCTGAGATTGACACAAAAAGACAGAGGACTGAAAAAGTTTCAACGAGACTAATACCAGAGATGTACCTTTCAGTTTGAGAGAAGAACTCAGCCTAAATATGCAGGGTTTCTGTGTTAAACGTGTACGAATGACACAAAACACAACTCTGGGTATGTTTTGGATGAGGGAACAACATGATAACATAGATTTTATCCAACTGAGTAACATAGACCCTTTAAAAAGACATTAAAGTTCAGTGAGTTTATAACTTTCTGACCCTGACCTTAAATAAATTATGGTATCATGGAGCATAGAATTATAATTATAAAATATGTGATGTTATCTAAATTATTACCATCACATTATTACCTGCCTTACTACTGCAAAAACTAATAAGCCAGTCTTTAGATTCAGTACAAGCCTATAACAGTAAAATGAAACTTGATATAGCAAAATGTCTGATACTGTTACATCCTAAAACGATTATGCTATTTTCGACATCTCACTTGTGTGCATTCTCCATCAGCTCCATATCCTGTTTATGTCTGAGCTGAAGATTCTCCAGTAACAGTTGGCTCTGGTCCCGCTCCATCTGCAGAGTCTTCACCTGCACAACATAGTTCAGATGTGAGCGTGACAGGTCCGGAGTCACCCCTGCGTGTCCTGCAGAGACGAGGGCTGACCTGTCCCTCCAGCTGAACCACGCGGGCCTGCCAGGACTGAGGATCCGCAAAGGGCTGTGCACCTGCGGACACGTGACCGCCCAGGCTCAAAAGAGGAGGCTGCGTCATCTGCAAACAGGAAACACTCATTATCTGATCAGTATCATGCAGAAGAAAATGAAAATATAATGTTATTGTAATATTACTAAAGAAATGTGCCAAAACATGCATACATAAAGTCTTCCAGCTAAGGTAGTCCTGACCAAAGCTATCACAAGATTTGAGGATTCTCAAGGGTGTCGCCTTTCCATAGATTTGACCATTGTCTTGTCTCCAGGGTGATAGATAAATTGAATAATATACTGTGGAGCACTCTTTAATAAACTCTCAATAAAAGGGCATAGTGCTAAGAAGCCTCCACCACAAAAGTTATGCAGGAACTGGATTTTGACTTTGTGAACTTTCTCCCACTTGAGCTATTACAAAGCAGAGGGTGCCACGGTGCCATACAATGAGCAGCAGGCGTGTCAACACTAGGCTTCTTCAAACATTTAAACATTCTGACTGACTGTACTATAGATGTATTGTGTAGGCGTAAATGTATTGTGTTTGACTTATGACATCTGTCTTGATCAGACCTCTGCATTGTACAGCTCCTGGGCCACATACAGGCCTTTTGGTTGACTCTGACCTTTGGTTGACTTTGTTGACCCTTTGATTTGATTGTTGACTTGATTTGATTGATTGTTGACTGTTTGACTTGGTTGACTCTTTGGTTGACTCTGTTTAAGCTCATTTGGAATTACAAAATAAAACATTTTATAATTTTATCCCATGCATGGACTAAAGCTGCATTGCTTTTATTTTAGAGGTGTTTTTTAAGACAACCTCACTTTTTCTTTGCTTCGTCATAACATAGACTCTTACCAGTCTTAGCCGCTTGTGAGAGAAACAAAACAATGCTTTTTATCTTATATAGCTACTTTTACTCAATTAATATTATGCAAAAATGAGTTACGCATTTTGGCCCTGCCCTCCACAATATTTTCTGTTTCTCATGTGGCTCCATGGAAAAAATAGTTGAATTGTATTTTAGAGGATAATAATACTGATAAATTTGATAAACCTACATTTTAGAAGATATTGATAACAATGACATTTTTAGAAGATAAAGATGAATCTGAAATCTTGTATTTATGGAAATTAGAATGAATTAATTTGGATTGTTTTAAATGTTCAATGATGAACTGGATAGTAGTTATATTAAGGAGACACTGTGATATGTTGTTGTTAGAGTTGGTTTAAAGTACATTTTAAAGTTTAAAAGTTTTTTTTTTTTTTATGTATTTTGTAGGACTGCAGATGGAAAGGAGCTTGTAGCTAAATCTGGCACAGAACATCTTTTCTCTCGGAGATTAATGCTTTCTGTGCACTGTCCTTGTTTTAAATAAATAAAATAATAATAATAATAGTCAGTTGGTGTAATATACAGATGGACATTGATGGTGTAATAGTGCACCTTCCCTGTGAGTTGCCAGTGAAGGTCATTCAGTGCCATTTTTATGACTATATTTTCCACATTATGAACCAAATACTCTACAGTAGTAAAGGTTTATGTCAACCAATGTGTTGTGTACTTATTGAGAAGTTGGAGAGTGAAATTGTAACCTGTTGTTGTAGTAGCATCTGCAGATTGTCAGCTGAGAGTGTGATCTGTAACAAAATCCACAATTATTAAAACTATAAAATAAAGTAAACACCATACAAAAAGCTTCTCTGTACAGTACCTGTGGTTGGACAGGAGCTGGTGCGGTTTGGAGTTCTTTAATTGTCTTGTCCCCTGAAGTCAAAAGCACAAGGTGATTTTACAACTACAAAAACATGTCAGAATTATTATGGTAATTCCACCAGGCAGGATTTGGCGGTGTTGGGTTATGCAGTGGCACGGTTGGTCTAGACCCGATTGCATAGTAATTAAAGAGGATGAATTGAATCTGACGCAGACTGGCTATTTCTAGTGACTGAGACTGAAAAAATAGGCCATCAGTTCTCACAGGCTCATGAGATATTTAAACTGAATATATTTGTAGTATTCGCTCGTAAAATAACTATACAAAGACGTGTAAGTGAACTATGTAGTATATTACGGCACATTACAGAACATGTCAAGAAGAAAGCTTAAAGGCCATGTACTGATTTTTTCCTATTTTCCAGTTTGTCTTGCTCGTGTAGATATTCTGTATAAGCAGTAGAGGTGAGCAGATCAACTATTTTTTCATCCATAACCGCATCACAAAACTTATTTCTGTCCTCTATCCATTTGCACTCATGATTTTTGACCAATTTTCAAGACCGCACCGGCTCACCCTCCGCTCGGTCTCTTCCAAGTTCTGAGTTTTTTATTTGAGTAATTAAACCGCCACCCGTCATCTACCCGCGCATCTCTAATAAGCAGCTCTTGAGGTCAAAATAAGCGCTTTGTACTGTCCGATAATCAGGAAATGCACTGTTAGCATGCCAGTAGTATTAGTGTTCTGGCAAAACTCCGCTCTAAACCTCTGAAAGTTCTGAAAAGTCCTTATAAACTCATCTTGGTGAGTAATTAGAATGCTTCAGAATGCATAAGGTAAGTGAGGAATAACTTTTAAGTATAAAGGTTGTATGGAGGATTTTTTTAAGGAAGAGAAATACAGCGCCAGTCCTTGTGCATGCGTGACACCACCTTCCTCCTCCACAGCTCCCTCAGAAGAAACACCTCCTCCCGCCTCCTTACTCTAGAAATCACTCTTGTTTACAGCCAGTGCGTGTTCAGAATTACTGTTGAAGTGACCTGTCTAGAAGTAATTTAGCGACAGATGCATCAGTTTTTAGACCCTTTGTCTGCTTCAGTCGCCCCATCTCTAGAAGGAATCTCCAAGAATCACCTCAGTTTGTCTTAGCTCCTTTTCCCCTTCTCTTCTTCTTTCAGCGACCTCAAAAACGGACTTTCTTTTGCAGCGAACTGGTCGTGGATTCTCATCCGCCATCGCAACAAACTTTGTGCGAAATGCGAGGAAGCTACAGTTTGAAAAAGGCTCTAAGAACCGCTGCATAAACCACATAATCCCCGCACGCTGGCGAGTCAGTTACACTAGGGAGTTTGATAGACAACCTAACAGCCAATAGAAAATGCGGTAGCCTCGTTATCTATTGGCTGATGTTTATCTGGCATCACTACATCCACAGTTGATAGATTTTCATTCTTTTTTTTTTTGGTCATCATAATTACAAGGGTGCTGCGTCTCTGTAATGGTATTTTAAACTTTCATTGACAATTTGAAACAAAAAAAAAATCCTCCATACAACCTTTAACCAGCTCTGTTTCTCATGTTTTTAAGTCAGTAAAAATCAGATACAGCACATTTAATACTCAATATTGAAAGGACTAATAAAGAATTACTCAAACATGTGTGAATGAAACAAAACACAACTCCAGGTATGTTTTTGAGGAGGTAAAACATGGCTTAAACATCAGTCAATTTTTCGTAATACAGAACCTTTAAATATTAAATTGTGACATCATCTGAAACTCAGTAATAACAAGTCCACATAATAATAGTAATATAGTATGATGTTGTCAATGTAATAAACAGTATTCGTAGACGTACCGTGCTTTGTTGTGTCGTCTTTAATTGGAGTAGAGTGTGCCACAGGGCCTGGTTCGCTGGGAGAGTTTCTACAGTAAAAACATGAAAGTATAAGATGATAATAAAAGCCAACATCAAACCCTGTGTTTTGTCACTTTGAGTATGCTAATAGCAGCTTCTGTTGCACCTGACAGATAAAGCAGAGTCTTCTCTCATCCTGGGAGTGTGTGAAGTCACTTGTTTACTGTAAAAGAAGAATACAGAACAGATTCAGAAACTGATTTCAATACCACAATGATCTATAGTGTAATTGAACACATAATGTAACTGAACACAAAATTACAGTAGTTTCTTTAAGAGCAGCAGTAGCATTCGTGTTACTTAAAGGTGCACTGTGTAAGTCTGCTTTTCTCCATGGTGATGTTATTGCTGTGTCTGAAGTGTTTGACAGTATGGCATTAAACCTTTTTCTCACAATGAAGACCAAACCAGGCCAAGTTGCTGGTCAGATCTGTGGAGAGGTGACCCCACTCACAGTCAGAAAGCATTTTTGAGCTATAAAATCACTAAATGTAAATTAGAGTTGTTTAATGTCCTACTGTGGTACACCTGAAGCGGAGCAATGACATATGCATAGAAACCAGAAGGTGATGGACCCCCAACCAAAAAGTTACACAGTGCACCTTTAAGTAAAAGCATAAAGCAGTAGTGCAAGAAACTGCTCAAGAAAGAGAAAAACATATTAGGGGAAACTACACAAGTAACTGTCTGTGTGTAACATCTGATTTATAATTTTAAGTTGATGTAATTGTAAGGACAAAACATTAAATATGATCGACACAAAAATTTGAAAAACGAAATCATGAAACACTAAATCTGAAGGATTGTTCAAATCATGTCACATTGTCAACATAAAGCTTTTGTCACTTGTAGACTTCCTCACAGAACATTTAAAACTCAAGGAATTAAAACTTTTACTGAAGAGTACTGTTGCACTGTAATATGATTCAAGTAGAAGTAAAAGCATAATGTCTGAAAACAACTCAGAAAAATACAATAAGGTAACTACCCACATTAAGTACCAATCAGTTCTTTTTGACAACACTAATAGCTATTGATGTTTTTATATACATTTTCTTTCGGCCTGTCACAATAATTATAACAAAAATAACAATATATCGGCTTCTTACCATTCAGTAAATTATTTCAAACTATTTTTGGGATAATCTTGCTTTAGGGTTTCTGTATCAGTTGCATAGCTCCAATATTATCATTTATTGTCTATATTTTCTTAAGCAATATATCACACTTAAAAATGTGTTATTGTAAGGCCTGGTCAGGATTAACAGTTACCTTATATTTAAATCCACATCTGCCTTCTTTGTAACTTCCATTTTATCCTCCTGCGTTATGATTTGCGTTCTGGATCCTTGCCTGGACCCAGATAGCGCCCTCTTCCTGCTCAGCGCTCCAGACAGCCAGTCATCCTCGTCCTCATTTTCCTTCTGGCTCACGGGGACCTCCGCTTTGGCCGCTTTCACAACTTCATTATCAGATGGTGATTGGGTTTCCACCGCAGATTTGACGGGAGCTGAGGCGGGGCCAGATAGGGGCGCTTTCCTCTCTGATGGAGCCGCCGCGGGGAGGTTGGGAGACTCCTTTTCGGGCTCTGTTCTCTGGTCACTGCGGTCTTGTATGTGGTCACCGTTCGCTTTGAGGCCGAGCCAGTCTGAAGCTCGCTGCCTGGTCGGGGTGGAGGGCTTGGATTTCTTGTCTAAAGTAGAGACGTCTTCGGTAGAAAACCTGTTAAAAGAAACATAACCATATAATAATTTGGATAAGTACGGTAACTGTGATTAGATGTGAGGCTGAGGTTTTTAAAGCTGTGCCTGATTTTCAACCCATGAAAGGAGGAAGTAGTAAAACAGATTTAAATATCAAATTTTTATCTCTCACACACTCTTGGGTACATTACTGGTATTCAAAAGCATGATTTTTTAGGCCACTAGCACAGCTTTAGAACTGATATTTAAGAAAAATGAAGCATGGTAGAATGGGAATTGCGTGTTTTTCACAAATTTCTGCTGCATTTCCTCAAAAATGTTGGGTAATTCAGCTTTAAATAAGGTTCAGAGTGAATTTTTTAATACACCAAGTAGCATTAATATTTGACAGTTTCAATATGAGCAGATAAACAAAGTCAAGAATCACATGCATTTCAAAACATGTTTGTAGTGGTCTGAAAAAAAAGGTTTTGCAGTTTTTTTGTCCTCCAAAAAGATAAGATATTGTTGTGTGTACATGAAATTCTACCATGGTATTTGCAATTAATTGTGAAACCCTATTTTGAAATGGCTTCTGGGTGGGAGCCGAAACATCTTGAAGAAGAAAGAATGTGCGCACATCAGCCAAGGGCAAGTGCAGGACCAACAAGATCAGATGAACAGGAATAAATAAAAATCCGCACACTGTTTTAAATCTCCCAACGTGAAATTTATTGGCACAACGTTTCGGAATGGGTTTCATTTATCGGTGCGAAACGTTGTGCCAATAAATTTCACGTTGGGAGCTTTAAAACAGTGTGCGGATTTTAAATTATTCCTGTTCAGCCGAAACATCTTGATCGCAAAAAAAGTGTACAGAAGATCACTATTGAAACCTTCTCGATGTTGAATCACAGATGAGGGATTACACCGTCCTATTTTTAAGTAATATAAGTGGTTTTGACGTAATAAAACTTCAATTACCTGACTGACTGCCTGCGGGATTGGCGGCCCTCAGGCGTGGACACAAGCGTGGGCTGATACGATCCAAAAGTCAGGTCTTCGTCTTGTTTCTCTGATAATTACGATTAAGCAACAATTAGCTTTAGTTACATTTAACATACAGCTTTTTTCTTGTGTATTACCTTTGAGAGTAGATGTTTTGTCCTGTTGGTGTTCCTTCTTTTCACCTGTAGGGGGACGTTCGAGGAGGTGAGGTGAAGTCAAGCTCTGCAGGATGTCGTCCAGTTTGGTGCGAGCTCTTTGGGGTTGGTCAGACCTGAGGAAGCAAGGCATGTATTTAAATATACATCCAGACACTAGCGCATTCAGCAAGAGAGGTCACAGAAATCCACTATGAAATCCTAAAACACCGAATTGAAAGGAAAATTTTAAGCATTCATTAATCATTATTTGTGAACTCCAAACACAGCAGTAAGATTTAGGGTTACACTAATAATAGCAATCAAATCGAAATAACAATGTCAATTATTTAGGCAGCGCAGCAAAGAAAAATTGGAATAATAGTGACTAGTAGGGATGTAACAATAACTAAAATATCGTGATATCGTATCTTGAAAAGTCTCACAATAATACCCTGGGCCAACACAATATATCGAATTACAAGTCTCTTTGCTTAAATTAATTGTTTCGGTGCAGCAATAGCTAAAAAAAACTGAGTGAACTACATCTACCATGATCCTTTGCTCCATTACAGTGCAGACTACATGAAAAGTAATACAAATAATAATCATCATTTTAAAGCACATTTAAGTCTTAATTGTTTGGTTTATGACTTGCCTTGTCAAGGCATTTTAAAAGGAAAAAGTTGCATTTCTAAATTTTGTTAGCGTCTACAAAATATCGCAATAAATATCGTACCGTGGGATGTATATCATGAAAATACCGTATTGAGTGACTAGTTTACTAAAATAATTATTAACTATTTTGATAATTATTTTCTGGACCAACACATTTTATTATGAAGAGAGCATAATTTTTTATATTTATTTACTTATTATTTACTTAATTTGTAAATATTTTCTATCTCTACATTTTATCTAGACACATTCTTAACATCCATAACATCTTAACATCTTAATCCAAAGCCCCATAGAAATAATATTTGACTTGGCAAATAATCGAAAGAAAGTTAACACTGACTATTGACTATAAAATTAATTGTTAGTTGCATCTCTATATTATATATAATATCATCACTATATAAAAATAGTGAAGAAAAACTTGCTAACCCTGTAGTTTAGAGATCCAAAAACCTGCTCCGAAATAGATGGGATTCTTGTTTTTCGTTTTATAGTGTCAGATTTAAGTCCTCTCTCATTTTTCTGAATGTGTTTAAAATGTGCACTAAAGCCAGAGTTGAAAACATGAATCAAACAACAATTGAATCACTTGTCAAAAAATGATTATAACAGAGAGAATAAACTAGGGCCTACATTTCCTTGTTCTCCCTCAGCTTAGCGTCTTTTTTCTTGGCCGTACTTTGATCACTGTCAAACCCCAGAGTGTCCATGAGATCATCGTTGTCGTCAAACGTGAGGTCAGAGCGCTTCTTGGTTGGAGCTTGAGCCTTATCTGAAACAATGAATCAAACGTTAATACTTTTCTAATAATTTTCTTATTATTACTTAGTAAGAAAGAAGTTAATGCAGTTTACTTTTGAGGATTGGCGAGATGGGAGAGGATGGCACAGACTTTTCCACAGCCTTGGGTTTGGGCTTGGTTTCTTCAGGAAGTAAATCGTCAAGCTGGTCTTCTCCATCTGCAGCCATAGAAATTATTAGATATGCAATCCTTACCAAACATTGTACATATTTGGATGTAAATTAAAAGATATAGGCAACTGGTATTTTTAGTTTATGTAACAAATAAAAAATGACATGTAACCTTTACTACTCTTACTGGGGTGAGTGATTTCTGTATCTTGAGTTTCAACCTCCTGTTATACGCATCATTATAAGGGCTTTTTACCATTCATAAGAGAGGCAATTTTGTTTTCAATTTTGGCAACGGACCCAAGTTTTCATCATTCTGAAACCCATGGATAGACAATATATACGTGACCTCCTAATACCTATGACTAACTATTTGAAGAGTACTAAAAAATACCTTCTGGCTCCATTTGCCCTTCATCATCATTATCTGAATTGGAGCATCAGGTAGAAAAGAGAGCAAAGTGACCAGTGGACAATCACATTTTTACTCTCAAAATGTTTATGTGTGCTTACCAGAAAATGTGAAATTTTTGTAGTTCCTCCCAGAAGATGGTGCAGAGTTTGGCTTTTTCTTATCAGTGGAGGATTTATCTGTGTGTAGAAAAAAAAAATCTTTTAAATTCTTTGAAAACTAAAACTTAAAACCAAGTAATTACAAGCTAATAGTAACAGTCACAATAAAAAATACAATTCTACAGAAAATATAATAAGAAGATAGGCTTATATTGAAGATCCCTTTAAGACACTTCTATTAAATGAACTAGATCTGCAAAAATGTGAAACCAGCTTGGATACAATTTTATGGAATGGCTATAATGAGTGCATATAAAAGTACTTGCAATAAATGTTAAGCCCTAAAGCCCTAGGTTCTGTCAAGAAATTGTATATATTACATTTTATACATTTTTGGTCAATTTGAGCATATTTACACAAATGTTAAAGGACCTGTACCATTTTTTTTTTACCAAGTATTTGAGCAAAATGTGTCTTGCCCCAGTACAGTTATATTGTATAAGCAACTATTGAGATCAAAATAAGTCCACTGCATCTAGTTAGTGTTATTAAGTGTTTTAGAGTCCCGTAATCAGGAAGTGTGTGTAAGCATGCTAGTTGTTGTTAGCTTTACCGCAACGCAAAACTCCACTCTAGTCAACAAGAGGTGAGAAAAATGCTTTTAAACTCATTGAGGTGAATAATTAGGATGACCAGAATGCACAAAGTAAGTCAGGAATAACTTTGGACCACTGCAAACCACTTAAAATGAATTAGTTCTGTTTTTCACATTTTAAGTCAATAAAAATCAGGTACAGTAAGTCATAAAAAGTCATAAGCTGATATAGTAATTATTGTGACAGACTTGTAGGATCCTCTTGTACTCAGTTACCTTCTCCTCCTGGTTTGTCAGTGTTTTCTAGTGTAGTGGCACTCTTCTTTGGTCCGTCTTTACCAGAGGACTTTACTGGAGCAGAACTTGGCTTTTTCTTTAGCACAAACAGATCAGCCTCCATGTCATCGATGTCCTGTACAGTGAAGACACAATATATTTATCAATACACATTTTTAATACATATTTTTAAAGTTTTAAGTCTTTAAGTGTTACCTTCATGTTTTTCAGGATTTCATTAGGATCTGCTTCGGAAACATCTGAGTTCTATGATTGACAAAGCATATGAAGATTAGGGATGCACGTAATTTAATAGATTGCATTACTAAATATTTGGTTTATTAACATTCACATCTTAACATTGTATAGGCCAATAAATATTTGACACACATTAATACTGTTACAATGCAGATTTTTGTTGTAATACAGTGAATTCCTGACTAATACAAATGATAAGTTTGAACATTTGTGAATTTACATTTTGGATATTTAATTGCAAAGTATAATGTTAGCCTCAGTGGCCATATCATTACTGGGCCTATCCACATGAAACAAAAACTTGCATAAAGTTCAAATCTTCTTTGTGTGTAGAGATAAACAAAACTCAAATTATTTTTTCACACTAGATTCAGAAAGTTGTGCTTTCAACCACAGAAACAGTTGTCATCAAGCCGTAGGATTAACATAATATGACAAGTCTGTGGAAGCAATTCCTAACAAATAATACGGTTCAACATTTGGGGATCATAAGTTTGAATATATCTTTCAAAAACTGTATATCTCCCATTAAGATGTATAGGCCTTTACTCTTCATCTGAAATTATGATATCAAATTCAGCATGAACACAACCTCTAATTCTTCCTCTGGACTTTGGACATCACATATAATGATTCCAAATAATCATGATTTCAGTTTTGATACATAGAAATCATGACTACAATTCTATTTTCATAATAATTAGCACCTCTAATAATATAAAGTTTATGTAGTTTATGTATTTCTTCACACTTCTTCTGCCCACATACCTCACTGTCCACACCGTCCTCCTTTACCTCCCCTGCGAGCACACTAAATATGTTATCAGCAGCAGACGATCTGGAAAAAACACACAAATTGCTCAGTTAGCATTTACTGTATGATTCTAGTCATAATATTATAAATTCTTTCAAATACCACTCACCGATTTGTGGGTAAACTGCGATTTGAGTTCATTTTGGCTGGTTGTTCTTGTGAAATCAAGTACAAAAGTGTGTTAACCCATAGTAAATAAATGGAAATGAATCTCTGCATGAGTTCACTTACTTTTATCATCCAGTAAATCAAGCAAATCATCCTCGTCAAATAAACCTAAGTGTAGAACAAAGTATTAGTAAATGTATTTGTTATATGTATATGTTACCAGCTTTTATCCACGCAGAAATATGTCATTGCTTTGCTTGTAATGTCCCTCAGTAGTGTATTAAATCTATCTTTATTCATTTAGAGGTGATAAAAATGGCATTGTCTTTACCTCACCCACATAGAGATAGATAAGTTTGTATTGCCAGTAATGCTATACTGTGGAACATTCCGAGCAGAGCAGCACAACACATCACAGTTAAATCTAAATTGCAATTTGAAAAAGGAAAGACTGCAAATATTTAGTTGCTCATTTTGGGAATTGTTGAATTAACATTAGTTTATCAGTTCAAATTGCAGGCTTTTCTCAGATGTTAATGCTACAGGACTTGTAAGCAACACAATCCTACATTTTATTACTTATCTTTTATTTTATTTTTACTGTACATTTACATTTATATAATTATGTCTTATTTAACACCTGTCTCTTGCTCTTTTTTGCTACTTATTTAGAATTTATTATTACCATTTATATTTTAGCTCTTTGTTATTATTTAGTATTGTAATGTCTGAGCTACTGTACTCAAATAAGTTCCCTTGTGGATCAATAAAGTTTGTCTAAGTCTAAGTCTAATACTTCAACTGCAAATCTATCCTTAATTTCTCTATTCTTCAGTCGCAAATCTATTCTAAATCGCAATTATTTGACACCAGCCACTTGCTATTTTTGCTACTTATTTTGAATTTATTATTACTATTTATATTATGCTCTTTTTTATTATAATATATACTGTCTGAGCTATGTCCAAATAATTTCTTTTGTGAATCCATAAAGTTTGTCTAAGTCTAATACTTTCTTCTAAAAATTATGTAGCCCTAATTCCGAGCACAGCAATGACATCTGCATAGACAAAAACTGATGACAGAAAAGTTACGTAGTGAACCTTTAAAAATGAAATTGTGAAAATCTCCGAGAAAAAAAAACAACAACTTACTTGACAACTTTCCTTTGGCTTTGTTTGCCTACGAGCGAAATAATCACGTTAGCGACATTTTCCTCAGTTTAAATCCTATCATGTGGTAAAAATTAATAAAGTAAGCTGAAAGGCATCTTACCATTTTCAACTAAAATCTCCAAAAGCTGTGCAAGATTTGTGAGGCGATGCTAAGCGGAGCTAACGCTAACTAAATCTGATTAGGCGTCTCCGGTTTCCATGGGTAACCGCACAGCTACACCGCACACCGATCATGGCACGCGTTTTTCCACTGCACAAAACACGATTAATACCATTTCAACACGTTTTTCCCAACTGTACGTAGCCAAAATGTTTGTATACGCTCGTTATAACTTTAAGAACAATCCATGTCTATCTATAAAACAAAGAGAATTGCGCGGTTTAGCTCTAAGGATCGTCAAAGTGGAGATTTCATTAACCCAAATATTTTAAATTAATAGAAAAATCCCCGAGAATGTATCTGGGATCAGATTTAACGCTTCTTTGCTTTTATATCTGGTCCTCTGCATCTTTTGTATGAACCACGAGCAAAAATACATCCATGCTACGGAACCGGTGCGAGACGCTTCCTGTTTACAAGTAGCAATGCATTGTGGGTAGCGTAGTTTTTGTGCAGATTTTTTTCTTCAAACGGGATTACAGGGAAATTGGTGGTTGCGTAACAGTTTTGCTACCTAATTTTTTTGTTTGGAATGAATTACCAGTAGATGGCAGTCAAGTCCAATTGCTGACAGCGTAGATGTATTATTTAGCAATCCATAGTGGAATTCTATGTTTAATTTATTGTTATGGTGTAGAGACCAGACCCATGCACAGGATTTTATTTTTTAACTGCAGTATTGTAACATATTGTGAATCATCATTGCACGTTGCACTGAAGTGACTATGTGTCCATAGTCAAATTGTAATAATAATGTTGCAGTTTTTACTAAACTTGCAGTGTTGTGTTAAATTAGATTAGATAATGTGTAGAACTCAATTCAGAATGGAACAAATGTTTATCTGGTGTGAGCACAGACTATAAAGAAGCGGACTAATGCCGGACATACACTGTGCAATATTTTTGATCACTTTATTTCATATTGCAGGGTTTAAAAGTTCACAACTCACAAGTCATGTTCTCACACTATAAAAACTGATGCTCGGTGCGAAACCCTTACAAGAGACTACTGAATTTCAAACAGGTTTGATATTCCTGCAACCTAGGATAGCCTATCAGGAGCTGGTGGTGAGGTATTAATTGGTTTTCATTACCCCATGTTTACTAAATGAAGCACGACACACAATTAAGCCAAAACTCAGCTCGATCTCAAGTGAAAAATTGGTTCAAAAAGGGCCAAAAGTCTCACAGTGTATAGTGGGTTAGCTATGTCCATTTATATATACAGTCTATGGGTGTGAGTCAGGTTAGTTTAAAGGCACACTATGTAACTTTATGATGGGCATCTGATACCTGCTTATAGTTGTCTCAATGGAAATATATTTTGCTTTGTCTTTAATGTTTCACAGTTTAGCCTTAAATGTATTTATCTCATCTAATCAGTTGCAGGTATCTTCATTGATAATTTTTTTAATCTTCACTAATCTCTTCACAGATCTGACTTGTAACTTGGCCTGGTCTGGTGGTGCCTTCTGCTTGTCTCCATGGAGATAGATGAGTTTAATGCCAACATGGAGCATGCCAAGGAAAGCAATAACATTTCCATGGAGACAAGCTGGTTGCGGGCCTTGCATCAGAAAAGTTGAGTAGTGCAATTTTAACGGTGAGTAAGAGGGCAAACTGTCAAAATGCGGATCTTTTGTCCTGGTTTATGGTTAATTAATATCTCTGTGATGTTGTAATTCGTTACAAGGCCTATCCCATAGCCTGTATGGCTCCACGAACAAGACCTGGAACAAAGTCTTCTCTGTCCACATAACTCAACAAATAGCTATGGTGCCATTATTCAAAGCTCAAAGGAAAGATTGCTGTCATTTGAAAGCACTTTATCAAACCATATGATTAATGTGACTAAGGTTGTGGAGCCAATCTCTTAATGGTTCTATATAACGCAAAGTTGACCCATGTAAGCTTTTAGCCATGTTCTAACATTGTTACCTCCTCAAAAACATACCTGGAGTTGTGTTTTATTTTATTTACACATGTTTAAGTAACTCTTTATTATTAGTCTGTCTACATCTCATCATCAAATCTCAAAATGCTCTTTGTTCGCATTGTGATGTCATGAAGCAGTAGTTTTCCAGTTAACAGCACCCTTTAAGCTTTCATTCATTTCAAAAGTGTTTTTGTTTAATCCAGGGCTGAAAATGTGTTAATTTTAGGCTATGTTTATATGATGACGGTCTGAACAGAAGATGTAAAAGTGGCGTTGCGTCTTCACTTTTTATTTCGCATTCAGACGAGCCTTTTTGGGAGGAAATCTGCATGGATACGGTGACGCTAAAGTGTGTGGAATTCGATTAGGTATCCACCTGACATGTTTGTTTCTGTGTACTGTATGTTTGTGATGTAACCACTTACGCGAGGTGAGCAGATCTGACCAGAGTTTTGCGTTATGGGCAGTGTAGACGGAAACGCTACGGTGGAGCGTATTCAGCTTTTCTACTCTGGAAGGTGTTTTCAAATTTTGCGTTTTTAAGCCCCAAAAACTCCATCACCATCTAAACGAAAGGCACTTTTGATAAAATATTTCGTTACAGGCCCGGGCTGAAATTACTGAAATGATTCTAGTGAAGGTGTTTAGGGTTAAAAAACACAGTGGAACACTTCCCGTATCACTACATGATATCATAAGGTGGAACAGAGTGTTTCTGTTTGAGAGAAGAAACAAAACTCAACTCCAGGTCTGTTTGTGATGAGGAAACAACATTATAACATAGATTAGAAAATACTGTAATATGGTCCCTTTAACAAATACAATAATGATAAAAATTGTGGATATTAAGTTTGGATATTTCAAATCTTCAAACTATAGCTTATAAACCATCTTTGTTATGGTTTTAGTTCTGATTTAGTCAAGTTGGAGACCTGGTTTAGCCCTTATAAGGAGTAAAAGGGGTCTAAAAGATCTGTGTGATGCGTTTAACTAGGGACAATATTTCAAAAGACCGCCTGCCCCGTGAGGCTCATTTACAAAGTATTTATGGCACCAAACCTTAACTGCTGTTATCAGGCCTGCCTTTAAATCAAGCCACAGCAAGATTTCTGTTTTCTTTTCATGTACCTGTTCTCCCCTTGACCCGCAACTCCCTCACATTTTGAAACAGCGTAATACTCCAAAGACTTTATATTTTGCTCAGAATTTATTTTATCTCTCTGATTCTCAAGCATAGTCTATTGGGACACGTTTACGTATAATTTTTAGAGGTCCCATATTACGCAAAACTGACCCTTGAGAGCTTTTTGTCATACTGGAATTTTGTTACCTCCTCAAAAACAAACCCGGCTTTTTGTTTTGTTTCATTCACATATGTTTGAATAATCCTGCACTATTGGGCGGTCTACATGTCCAAACCTCAAAATGCTCTGTTCCACCCTTGTGATGTCATGAAGCAGTAGATTTCAAGTTAACAGCTCCTTTTACCGTTTGTTCAGTAGAGACTGGCAATTCCAGGGCTGAAATCATACAGATGATTCTAGTGAAGGTGTATGAAGTTTAAAAAAACACAGTGGAGCACTTGCTGCTTTACCACATGACATCACAAGGTGGAACAGAGTGTTTTCTGTTTGAGAGAAGAACAGAGCCTAAATATGCAGGACTTGTGATTTGTTAAAGGGCCCATATTACACAATTTTCTGTTTCCACATCAAAAACATACCTGGAGTTGTGTTTTGTTTCATTCACACATATTTAATACAAATATCATGCATATTTAGGTATTTAGTTCTCTTCTCTTACACAAAAAGCACCCAGCTCCATCATGTGATGTCATGTGGTAAGTGCTCTGCTGTTTTTAAACTCCATACACCTTCACTAGAATCATTTGGATAACATCAGCCCTATTGAACAGAAGGTAAAACTTGAAAATAACCACTTCATTACAAGGCTGAACAGAGCATTTTCAGACAACTCCAGGCATGTTTTTTGATGTGGACACAACATTATAACATAGATCAGAAAAACCAAAAAAAAATGCATAATAAAGAAGAAAAAATATATATATAAGTTGCACTTTTTGGGTGAAATTTATTTTATAAAATCAGAGATCAGGAACCTACATTTCATCTTGAAAGGTAAGTTACAGTAACAACAATAGAACAGAGAACAACAGACTGTTAATGTCACATATGAACAGTTCTTCAGATACAGTAACTATAGCATAAATAACAGAACAAGTTTACCAAACTCTCCATCTCACTCCAAATCTCTAAATCCATTGAATTCTTCATCCTCGGTGTCACTTTTGAGCAACTCCGCGACCTCCGGAGGTAAACGGAGCGCCGCTTCCTCTTCTGTGTAGCTGTTGTCAGACTCAACATCAGTTCCAGTTAGAATTATTCTGGCCTTTCTGAGTCCAGACAGGATGGTTTCGGTGTCACTGAAGTCCAGGCTTTGTCGATCCATCCAGTGACTTCCAGGAAAGTTGCATGGCGCACTTGCTCGGTGTCACAAGTTTCTAAATTACTCTGCTGCTCAATTACCGCTTTTGGAAAACATGAACTGCAAAACATGATTTTCTTTTTGGAGGCATTTGTGTTCCGTCTTCTCAGTCATCTTAAATTGGTATAAAAGTAATAGTGCAATCGACTGACATGAGGCTCTTTCTGCAGGAGACATGCGCAGTAGAGTGAAGTGACAGTGGTACAGGAGTAATAGGAGTAGGAGATACTGACACACAGGCCTAGAGCACCCTCTTACGGGTGTCAGTGTGTGAAAATTTTAATATATAAGTTGCACCGGAGTATAAGACCACCCAAACCATGAAAAAAAGTGAGATTTATAGTCCGAAAGATATGGTAATATGGGCCCTTTAAACTGATATCTTAGAGGATCTTTTTTAAATCTATTCAACCTCTCTGACCCATGTTATAATCTTTACCTGCCATTTTGAAACCATAACACACCTATTCAATCAGACCAGTCATGTGCAAAAGCTCAAACAAAGGCAAATTTATAGTCACTCACCACTGCACACAAGTTACTGCACAGTTCAAATTTTATTGCTTGGGCATGTTTTTGCAAAAAGCCTATGGCAACTGAGGACAATAAACATAACTAGAACAAGGAACATGTTCAAAATTAATGCCACAATCACAGTTTATTTAGCAAACAAAAACACATGCAATACAGGCACAGCAGTATCTTTAATTTTCTTAAAAAGCGTCCGCAATGTAATACGATTTGTTATTAATTCTATTTCAAGATGGGAGCTACTGACAAAATTATCTTTATATTTTGATATTTTGAATATATATTTCATCACTATTCAGTCACAAATGTGCGCAAATGTGGTTCAAAATGTCATGGCTTAGGTTCAGGTTTTGTACAAAATTAATAAACTGTAAACTTAAATCACAATAGTGCAGAAATATCAGTTTAAAACCTTATTTGGAA